CTACTTTGACATTTTCCTAGGCACATATTTCTATGTACTAGACAATACATTTTAAATGCTAACAATATATAAATGGTTGATAGATTAATGGTTTGTAGGTCCAGGCTCTGGGCAAGGAGGGGTGTAGATGGGGCTATAACAAGGCAAACTTGGGACATGTGATTGATGGGAGCTATTCTGTATTTTATTTTGAATATCATCAATTGTTGTAAATGTTAGGTTCAGCATGGCATTTCCACACCTGCCCACAGTGTGCACTGATCAAATCCAGCCTCCCTTATCCACCCTCTCCAACCACTTCCCAACATCTAGTAATCTCTCTCCTATGTTCAGGGTGACATTTTACTTTTTTTTTTCTAACCACCTCTTGAGACATCATAAAGTACTTGTCTTTTGGTATCTGCCTTCTTCACTTAGTACAATATCCTCCAGGTCCATCCACATGGCCCCAAATAACAGGATTTCATCCTTACATATGGCTAAGTATGTTCAACTTGTATATATGCCACGTTTCTTTCCTCCTCTCATCAGGTGATGGGCACATAGGTTATTTCATAGTGTAGCTATTCTGAATGATGCTACAGTAAACATGGCCATGGACGATTCTCTTTGCTGTAAATTCATTTTCTTGTTATCAGTGTAAATACCTGGCTGTGATATTTTGCTTAGTGTGACTATGGTGGAAGCTTATGAAAGGGGCCTTGAATCTCTCCCTGTCAGTTTTCACTACTGCCCATTAATCTACAATTGTCTGCAATGAAGTTCAATTAAAAATATAAATAAAAAAAGTGATGGACATCTGAGGAAGACGTTTATAAACTGTTCAAATTTTGATGTGTTTCCCTTTCCTCTWGAACCCATGACCACTGTTCACTTTCTCACTTGTAACTGTAAGCTGTCATTGCTGTTAGGGTACATCTGTGCTTAAAATTATCCTTTGTACGTTCTTCAAACAAGAGCAGGTAAATGAAAGAGAACACTGACTTTTGATAATATGCTGTGGCTTCCTGTCAATCCAGACATAAAATGTACAGAAGACTGTGGTGAAGTTTGCTTTCTGATTGGGGAAAAAATGTTGGATATTGAAATAAACACATTTGGGACAATAAGAAATGTTGGCATCTGACGTTTCATTGCTCTCACTCTCTGCTGTGTAGAGACCAGGGGAGACGCTAGAGATGGACGTGTGATTTACACTGTGGCTTTTACTACTTAAGAACCTCTCCTACTGCCTCCCTTCTGCACACACATGAGAACCCCACACTCTTCTTTTCTTGCCAGAGTCCTGAGTTCCTCCATTATGGAAACCTCATCAATAATAACATATCCGGGTATTTAGTTTCTATCAAACTCATACTCATATCCGAAATCAAGAACCATCATTTGGTCCCTCATTATAAAAATGTATGTTCATTACCAGCATGAAATTTCTGGTATTGTCAACAATGCGTGATGAGTGCAGGAGGAGCTGTCTTATGGTTTTGCATTTCAAAAAACACAGCTCACTCCTCTGTTAAAGAGGGACATAGAAAACTTCTGGAGATGCCAAAGATTGTGTCCCCAATGTGAGTCAGTGTTTGGAGGACACAAGATACCTAACCAGGGCAGGTTTCTTAGTTTTGGACATGGGAAGAAAAGTGGAACACAAAGGGTGGATGTGGTGATGGGTGGTGGGACATTGGGAAGGTGAGGCTCATGGATTGGTGGTAACAAGGGGCAGATTAATAGCACTCCACTCTGATCTCAGGGGAATCTATGCAAACTCTTCCTTTCCTGATTATAGACCTGAGTCCTGCAGGGAAATCAGGTGCTTAGAGGTTGGAGTAAAAAAGAAGGACATGTGCCTAATGAGCAGATAGAGAAAGCTGTAGGCTGTGATTGCTCCTGCTCTCCCTGAGTGCACACCTTGGGGCAAACTTGATTCTTCAGGATCTTGAAATCTGACTTGAGGAACAAAGCTGGACCCATTTCTGTTCTCTTGTATTGGGTCAGAGCCTCACTCTGCACAATCAACATCCAGGGAAGAACTGAAGCCTGTGCATGAAGACCCTCCCATCAGAGATGCCACCCAGGTGAGCCTGAGGACCCAGCAGACACTGCAGGAGCTTTCACCTGAGGTTCCCTGGGAACCCAACTAACCTGGCCTGCAGCCCAGAGATGGTGGTGTCCTTTGCTAGTTTAATGGATTTATTAATGGATTTATAAGATTATAAAAAGGAGAAGTGACCAAGAAATTATCAACAGGGTATCACTGTGTTGCTAATTGTAACAGAATGGTATCACTGTGTTGCTTATGGTAACAGAATCTCAATTAGAAGAGGGATGGGAGGCAGGAAGTAGTTCAAATAAAGTAAAATGTAAGTCTGCATACCTTTGCAATGAAGGGGAATGGATAAATCCTGTATTACATAATGAGAGATTTGCACTGAATGGAGCTCATTTTATTAAAAAAATTACAATGGAACATATTTCAGGCCATTTTCACATTGGTGAGAAAGATCCAGATTTAGTGATTTCTATAAATAAATTCCTGCAGGAGAAAATCATAATATAGATACTTCATGGAATCTTCTTCCTCTCTGGGTATCYACATGGAAAATTAATAAAGAAGTGAAGACAATTATGCCAAAGAATTTTATGCTGCAAGTATTTCACAACCTGTCAAAATGAAGTCAGCAGGATGGCCGTCAACCTCTCTATTTCAAATTGTAAAGACCCTTTGCTTAGAGTTGGAGTGTATTCCCTCTCA